TACCTGACAAGGAAGAAACAGTGCAGTTCTGGAAGCAGATATGGGATAATCCAAAAAAATACAACAAGGATGCGGATTGGTTAAAAGAGGTGGATGCAAATAAAACAGAAGTTGAAATGAAAGAACTAGTAATAACAAGAAAAATGGTAGAAAAAAGAGCAAGGAAAATCAAAAATTGGTCAGCACCAGGTGAAGATGAACTGCATGGGTTTTGGTTGAAACATCTAACTGTTATACACCCACTCATTGCCAAGCAGTTCAACAATATACTACAAGGAGGAGAAATTGAAAAGTGGCTAACAACTGGGAAAACCTACCTAATAATGAAAAATCCAGCAAAAGGGGCAACATCAGGCAACTACAGGCCAATTACCTGCTTACCAACAACTTTCAAATTACTAACTGGTTTAGTAGCTGATGCAGTACAACAGCATCTAGCTGAAAACAATCTCTTTCGACCTGAGCAGAAAGGAAACCACCCCAATAGCAGAGGAACAAAAGATCAACTCCTAATAGAAAAAATGATCTTGGAAAACTGCAAGAAAAGGAAGACCAACCTGAATGTGGCATGGATTGACTACAAAAAGGCATTTGACTCTCTGCCACATGACTGGATAATCAAGTGCCTAGAAATAACAGAAGTCAGTAGAAACATCAGAAAATTTGTGCAAAGATCGATGGCACAATGGAAGACACAGTTGCAGATCAATGGTGAGAGACTGGGAGAGGTTAATATCAAGAGAGGAATATTTCAAGGAGATTCATTATCACCATTACTATTTGTTATTGCACTGTTTCCTCTGTCAACAATACTGAATAACTCAGGACATGGCTATCAAACATCAAAAACATCTGCCAGACTATCCCATCTCCTTTACATGGATGATCTGAAGCTGTATGGAAAAACATCATCTGAAATAGAATCGCTGCTCAACACTGTCCGTATATATAGCCAAGATATTGTAATGGAGTTTGGCTTGGACAAATGTGCCACACTTACTATCAAACAAGGAAAAATAGTGAAAACTGAAGGAATCTAGATGCCCCACGAAAATAACATTAAGAGTCTGGATGAGGAAGATTACTACAAATACTTGGGTATCCTTCAAGCTGACAACATCAAGCACACTGAAGTCAAGAAAAAGATTAGAAGTGAATACATCAAGAGAGTGAAGAAGATCTTAAAGTCCAAACTCAATGGAGGAAATACCATAAAGGCAATCAACACCTGGGCAATACCAGTCATTAGGTACACAACTGGAATAGTGGACTGGACTCAAGCAGAACTAAAAGCAATGGATAGGAAGACCAGAAAAATAATGACAATGAATCATGTCCTTCATCCACGCAGTGACATTGACAGACTTTATCTACCAAGGCAAATAGGTGGGCGTGGAATGCTACAAGTACATCAGATGGTTGAAGAAGAAAAAATGGCTTTGGAAGAATATCTGAAGAACAATGATGAAGATGAACTGAAATTAGTATATCAGGAAGGCTTACTGACTACTGGAGAGACCAAACTGGCCTACAAGAAAGACCAAATGAAGAACAGAATAGAGGTATGGGAAGAAAAAGTACTACATGGCCAATACATTAAAAAAAATAGCTGGGAAAGCAGATAATAACAAGACCTGGTAATGGCTAAGAGCAGGAAAATTGAAGAAAGAGACCGAGGGACTAATTCTGGCTGCACAAGACCAAACCTTAAGGACAAATGCATATAAAGTCAAAATTGAGAAGACAGCAACAGACAGTAAGTGTCGCCTATGCAAAGAAGCTGAAGAAACAGTGGATCACCTGATAGGCTGCTGCAAGAAGATCACCCAGACAGACTACAAGCAGTGGCATGACAAAGTAGCAACAATGGTGCATTGGAAGATCTGCAAAAAATATCATTTGCCTGTAAGCAAAAACTGGTGGGATCATAAAATAGAGAAAGTCATAGAAAATGATAAAATTAAACTGCTCTGGGACTTCAGAATTCAAACAGACAAGCACCTGCAACATAACACCCCAGACTTAACAATCGTCGATAAGAAAGACAAAAAAGTCTGGATAGTGGACGTGGCAGTGCCTGGAGACAGCAGAATAGACAAGAAAGAACTTGAGAAGATAACAAAATACAAAGACCTACAAATAGAAATAGAAAGACTGTGGTAAAAGCAAGCAAGGGTAGTACCAATAGTCATAGGCTTCTTGGGTGCAATCCCAAAACAACTGGAGCACCACTTGAACATGATTGGCATTGACAAATTCACTATTAGTCAATTGCAAAAGGTGGCCTTACTAGGAACTGCTTCCATCCTGCGACGATATCTGTAATACCATCAAACATCCACATCTGCCTATCCAGGTCCTGGGTAAGGATTCGATACGTAGACCAAATGCCAAATCCAGTGTGAACATCTGGCTGACTGTGAGATGATCCATAATAATAATAATAGTTGAAAGGGACCTTGGAGGTCATCTAGTCCAACCCCCTGCTCAGGCAGGAACCCTAGAGAATGATCAGTTGAGAATAGCTACATTGCCCACCAGCAGGCACTTCATCATCAGATTCATTTTATTTAGGATTCTTCAGAGATATCGTAGCTAGATATTATTCTTTTCTAGTCCCAGTTCATTCTGTTTCCTAAGGGGACATGGTCTAATCGAGTCTCCCTTGAAGAATATTTCTTCCAAAAGGAGAGGAATTTTATAGCTCCCTGATTGTTCTGTTTCTTATGCCCAAAGCCTGATATTTTTGATTCATCAGTTTTCTCCAAATGACTATGCAAGCATGATGTTCTTTCCATCAGATGCCTTTTCAAAGTTCTTTTTGGGGTTAAGTTACTTTGCAAACAAGAAGATAATTCCTTCAGAAACACTTCCAAGAGTAGCAAAGGTCCTTTTGATGCAAATCAATGTGGTGGCCTTAATTGATTGGGTCGATACGTGTGGTGGCCTTAATTGATTGAGTTGATAAGAGGCAACACAAAAGATTATATCTAATACTGACAACATCATCAAGATAAGGATGAGTGACCTACGAGTCCCATGGTGTGTATATAGCTGCTATAATCTTACCCAACAGAGCACATATAAAAGTTTCCAGAATGGCACTAAACCAGAATCTGAGAAAGTAGCAAAAGTTGCACATAGGTGTGGTGAAAAAAAAATGAGATAAACGGAAAGAAAATAACAGATATCAGGTCTTGCTGGACTCTAGTGGAGACATCTGATTAAGCACAAAGATGAATTTTAAAATGTATATTTTGGATAAAGTCTAACTTAGATGGTTAAAACATCTCCCTCCCCCCATTCTCCATCAGAATTGAGAAGTTTGTTTGTTTGTTTGTTTGTCATTTGGAGGCAAGCAAAGGCTCAGCCAATTTCACTGTATACATGTTATACTTTAATAACGAAGGTTTTATTATTAATTAACACTACCCCTACCCAGTGGTGGGATTCAAATATGTGAACAACTGGCTGTCTGTGTGGATGCCACTTCCAGAAGTCCATTCTGGTTCTGGGTAACAAAAAATTAGCCACTGGTTCTGCCAAAGTGGTGCAAACCGGCTGAATCCCACCACTGCCCTTCCCCCCCCCCCCCCCGGTGAGATCTGCTTCTACCTTCCTGCCTTTCTGAAAACCTGGTTCTGCCAGTTGGCCTGAGGCGCCAACGGGGAAATCCTACGTTGATGGTGGTTGATGGACTAATAACAGATCCCATCTCACTCCCTGCACACCTTGTTCCCTCCCTCCTTATCTTTTCACCATAACTTATAATTTTATTGCTATATGTATTTGTATTGTTTATTGCTTTCAATTTTGTAAGCTGCCCAGAGTTGCCTTGTGGCTAGATGGATGACAAATAAAGTGAACAAATCCCAAAGATGTTTTTTTCATAAGGCAACTGAACTTTCTTGTTTTTCTTTGATGATGTTTCGCTTTTCATCCAAGAAGCTTCTTCAGCTCTGACTGGACGGTTGGGGAATGGAAAGATGGAGACAAGGCCCCACACAACAATTTGTACTACTCAGGTGACCCTGAAGACACAGGTAAGCCTCCAAGTAGCTTTAACAATGTGCTAAAAGAATGCAAATGACCAGCTGTCTGCAAGAGTATAAATCACCAATCTGGCACTTTTTCTATCAATTACATGGACCAATATTTGAATTATATGGACAAGTATCCATATATTTTTACACGGTTGGCTGGCTCCCAATTCTGCAGGCTGATGTCCATAATCTGAAAGCTGCCAAGATTGAAAAACATAGGACTATATAGTATTATTATTGTTATTATTATTATTATTATTATTATTATTATTATTATTATTAATAATAATAATAATAATAATAATAATAATAGATCCTGGGTAAGGACTCGATAGGTAGACAAAATGCCAAATCCAGTCTGAACATCTGGCTGACTGTGTGATGATTAATAATAATAATAATAATAATAATAATAATAATAATAATAATAATAATAATAAAGTTGGAAGGGACCTTGGAGGTCATCAAGTCCAACCCCCTGCTCAGGCAGCTAACCCTATACTATTTTTGAAAAATGGCTGTCCAGTCTCTTCTTAAAAGCCTCCAGTGTTGGAGCATTCACAGCTTTTGGAGGCAGGTTGTTCCACTGATTAATTCTTCTAACTGTCAGGAAGTTTCTCCTTAGTTCTAGGTTGCTTCTCTCATTGATTAGTTTCCATCCGTTGCTTCTTGTCCTGCCTTCAGGTGCTTTGGAGAATAGCTTGACTCCCTCTTCTTTGTGGCAGCCCCTGAGATATTGGTACACTGCTATCATGTCCCCCTTCGTCCTTCTCTTCAATAAACTAGACATACCCAATTCCAGCAAGAATTGGGTATGTCTAGTTTAAGTAACAAGAGTGGAATTCATTCCAGACAGCACAGAAGTGGGAGACTTGTCATCTAACTTTAGCTATATTCTATGGCAGTATCTGCAACAACATCAGCATCAAAACTGTTCAGCAAATCAACCAAATGATGTTTGTGCAGTTGGAATTTTATTTGTTTTTATTTTCATAAAGTTTTTCCCGCACCAAGGAGAGCAACTATTCTTCTACAGGAAACAAATTAAAATCAAGCTGTATGCTATATCTACTGCCCCCATCACCACCAAGCACTGAGTAGGCTGGGTCATTGGATGTCCTTGAGCAGAACAATCTTGTTCATTTTGCAGAAATGGAAAATGCTGTTGGACCTTTCCAGCATATTCAGATACTTCTGCAATTTCCGTAATTTCCATCATTTTCCTTAATCAAGTTTCGGCCTCTCTTTTAGGTTGCAGGTCAAAATGAAGTGAGAGAAAGGAAAAGAATTAATCAATGAAACTTTTGAAAAAATAATTGCTGAGTAATTATAGGAATAGAGATGTATTGTGGTCACCAAGACTGATTAAAAAAAAAATCTGCCAGAACTTTTGAGACTAACAATTATGACTTAACTAGCACAATGCATTCATCTGTTAATTATTAAGTACTTATGATTCTTCTTTCAAGGAATTTGCATAATTAAGGAACTAATCTTTCCCTTCTCTTCCATATTTCATCTCAATGAATCTCATGATTCTCAAACCATTCCATTTATCTGATGATGTGAGTAATAGCTCATGAACATTTAAATAAAATTCTAGTTTCAGAAGCTGTTTCTGGAATGTTTCTTTGGACACCCTAGCTTCTTTGGGTTCCCCATGCTGGCTGGGGAATTCTGGGAGTTGAGGTCCACTCAGCTTAAGTTATCAAGTTTGAAAACATTGCAGCAGGTCAGGTGTGCTTTTCCAAGAAGTACTTTGTGAGATCAATAGGTGGTAGAAACAGAAATTATGTATACTGTGTGATGATGTCCTGACAGGCATGGCATCACATTCCCCATTATCCCTCTCCCCATGGACAGTCTTGCACCCACTTTGGAGGACACGCATGTCCCAAAGTCTCATGTTGGCTCTTAGAGTGATACTTTCTAATGGAGAAGAAAAGTGGGAAGGGTAGAGAATTTATGGTTTGGAATCTTCGAAATGATATCTTCATGTTAACCCTCCCCACAAACAACCCACTTTTTCTGTGCAGGGCTTACCTATCTTCTTGAGCTCTGTTTACCCTGGGAAAAAAGTACAAGAGGAAGAAGGATAAATGGGATACGTGTTTAAGAGGAAGAAGGATATTAAGCAATTGCAACAAATAAAAGCTACTTACCGAAATGCTACCTTCACCGGCACCATTCATACCCTAAAAAGAGAAACCAAAGGTAACCCTTCTACTCTGATATGATAACAGTTATTGGAAATGAGATTAAACATGGGCCAAAAGTTTTGGTCCTGCCTGCTAAGAATATGCTCTGGAGATTCTGCAGAGGCTTTTGGTGAAGGAGGTAAAAGGATAATTGTTCAGATGGAAGAAAAATATGAATGGCAGAAAATAAACAAGAACTACTTACTGGCATTGGACCTCCACCAGCACCATTCGTGCCCTAAAAAGGAAACCAAAGTGAAACAAAATGATAACACCCTGACTTCTACAACTGTGCCACCACATGACCTCTCATGACCTACAAATATTGCTCGTTCAGGTGGAGAAAGAATATAAGGAAAAGAGGAGCAGAAAATAAATAAAAGCTACTTACTGGCATTGGACCTCCACCAGTGCCATTCATACTCTAAAAGGGAATCAAAAATTAAATCTTGTACTTTGGTATGATAACATCCACAACTTCTGCAACTATGTCACCACTACATCCTCTGAATCTTGTACTTCCAGATTGCATGAGGGCAGTAGTGGGATTCAAATACCTTAACATCCGGTTCTCTGCATGGATGCAGGCCTGGAATGCCTCTGAAGCCTAGAACGGACTTCTGGAAGTGACAGCAATGCACTTCCTGTGGGCTGTTCTAGGCCTGGGAGGCGACCTCCAGGCCTCGGAGGCCTAGAACAGACTTCTGGAGGTGACATCAATGCACTTCCTGTGGGCTGTTCTAGGTCTGGGAGGCCTCCTCCAGGCCTCCCAAGCCTAGAACGGATTTCCAGAAGCAGCGTGGGTTCAGCCGGTTCTCTGAACTCAACACAATTTAGCTAACCGTTCTACTGAACGGGTGTGAACTGGCTGAATCCCACCACTGCATGAGGAACCACTTTTGCCTGAATATAACCAATGCATTTGGTTAGCTAAAGGATTTAACAAACAACGAGAACTGAGCAGTGAGCAAAGACTCCTCTCATTCAGATGGAAAACATATATGAAGAAAGGAATGATAAAATATAAGTAAAAGCTACTTACTGGCCTTGGACCTCCAGCAGGGTCATTATTGCCCTAAAAGGGAAACAGAAGGTAACCCTTCTACTCTGATATGATAAAAGTTATTGGAAATGAGGTTAACTATGGGCCAAATGCTTTGGTCCTGCCCGCTAGGAATCTGCTCTGGGGATTTGCAGAGGCTGTTGCTGAAGAAAGAAGAAGGCTTAAAAGGATAATTGTTCAGGTGAAAGGAAAAATATGAATGGCAGAAAATAAATAAGAACTACTTACCGGCATTGAACCTCCACCAGCGCCATTCATGCCCTAAAAGGGAAACAAAACAAAAGAAAATGATAATGCCATGTCTTCTCCAATTATGACATCACTTGGGTAGAAAGATAAAAAGCACACTTGTTGGGGTAGAAGGAGAATATGGCAAGAATTATGGAGTGGCGCAAAATAAACAGGAGATGCTTACCATCATTCCACCTCCAGCCGTGCCATTCATGGTCTGAAAGGGGAAGAAAAGGTAACCATTATAATCTGACAAGATATCATTCTGCCTAGAGAAGAAGCAGAAAAGGTGCTGATACTGAACACAAAATGAAGTTGGATTGTGCTAGGAGACACTCTTCTCTTATCAAAGCCGCTGAAGTTTGTTGGGTGCAACATTTGGCCAACCATGAGAACCCAGCAGTACTTCAGGACTTCCTTTACACATTGTACTTGTGGCATCTTCCTCACGATATACCACTATCTCATTCAGCTTCCCTTAACCCTCTATTTTGGCCACCTCCATCTCCTTCTACTCCATGTAAGTTAGAAGAATGAAAAGGTAGTCATGATTGTATACACAAATTTATTTGTGCATCAAGAACTTTACATTTCTTCCCATCCAAAGCAGAATCTTCACTCAGGATCTTCAGAAACTATTTTTAAGAGATCAGTTATTGGAAATGAGGTTAAACACAGGCTAAATATTTTGGCCCTGCCTCCTATGAATATGCTCTGACGACTCTGCAGAGGCTTTTGACGGAGGAGGAAAAAGGCCCTTAAAGGGATACTTGTTCAGCTGAACAAAATATATGAAGAAAGGAATGGTAAAATATAAATGAAAGATACTTACTGGCCTTGGACCTCCAGCAAGGCCATTATTGCCCTAAAATGGAAACAAAAGGTAACCCTTCTACTCTGATATGATAACAGGTATTGGAAATGAGGTTAACTGTGGGCCAAATGTTTTGGTCCTGCCTGCTATGAATATGCTCTGATGACTCTGCAGAGGCTTTTGGTCAGGGAGGAAGAAGGATAAAATGGGTGCTTGTTCAGGTGGAGAAAGAATATAAGGAAAAGAGGAGCAGAAAATAAATAAAAGCTACTTACTGGCATTGGACCTCCACCAGCACCATTCATGCCCTGAAAGGGAAACAAAAGGTAAATCTTATATTTTGGTATGATAACATCCATGACTTCTGCAACTATGTCACCACTACACCCTCTGCATCTTGTATTTCAATTCCAAATTGCATGCAGGACCACTTTTGTCTGAATGTAGCCAGTGCATTTGGTTGGCTAAAGGGTTTAACAAGCAATGACAGCTGAGCAGTGAGCAAAGACTTCCTTCTCTCATTCAGGTGTGAAAAAATATATGAAAAAATGAATGGTAAAATATAAATGAAAGATACTTACTGGCCTTCGACCCTCGGCAGGGCCATTATTGCCCTAAAAGGGAAACAGAAGGTAACCCTTCTACCCTGATATAACAATTATTGGAAATGAGGTTATTCTGTATGTGAATATTGGCCTCCTATTGACTGTTTAACCAAATCAAGGTCAACTTGCCAGCCGCAGTGACATATCAAGCTTAAACCTGGATAGTTTCATACATGTTGCATTGCTTTTAGTTGCTCTATGGATTACTATGTTGTGTGAATATGAGCTATTTAATCATATTTCATATATTATGAAAAGTCCAGAAAAATGGTTAGACCAGTACACAGAATAAGTATGTTGTATGTGCTCTGTAACACAGACTAGGTTACTAAAATAGACTTCTATTTTATTAAATATTTTGGATGTATTGAAAAATCTCCATTTCTGGATTCCACAAAAATCCAGGTGAAATAACTCTGAAGGAGTAGAAGAGGATATGTATCTATTGGGAAGAAGATCTGGATCCTGTACATCAGACACGACTATTAAGGAGATAAAAAATAAATCAGTAAAGGAAAAACTGTGGCGTTGCCATTCATCCATCTTTGAGAGGATTCTTGCTCATATTTACAACAAAATGAAGTCAGATTGTTTTAGGGACCATTTTTCTCTGAACAAAGCAATTGCATTTGCCTGGGTTCAAGAATCAGCAAGTAATAAGAATTCATCAGTGAGTAAGGAATTCCTTTGCACATTACACCTGGGAAATGCTCTTCATAGTAAGCTATTATCTGATTCAGCTTCATTTGAATCTCTCTCTTCCGTCACCTCCACTTTCTCTACATCCTTCTCCAAATAAATTAGATATTGAAAAGGTAGTTATAATTGTACATACAGATTTGTCTGTGCATTAAGATCTCCTCTATGTTATGTTCCATGCAGGGGATCAGTCCACAAGGGGTATCTTCACCCCAGCCTGGGTGCTGGATCTATTTTTAAGAGGTCGATATTCATTAAACCAGGCCAAATATTTTGGCCCAGCTTGCATGCTTATCCTCTGTGCACTGCACAGATGCTTTTGATCAAAAAGGAAGAAGGATAAATGGGTGTTTGTTTAGGTGGAAAAAGAATATGAAGAAAAGAGAAGGCAGAAAATAAATAGAAGCTACTGATCCCCTAAACTCCACTGAAGGTGATACCTAGCCTGGTAACGAAATGTTTGGAAACCAAGCTTTGAGAACGAACCTTCACCCTCAAAAGCTACTTACTTGCATTGGACCTCCACCGGCCCCATTGATGCCCTAAAAGGGAAACAAAAAGTAACCCTTCTCTTCTGATCTGATTACACCATGACTTCTATAACTATGCCATCACTGTCATCTTCCGAATCTCATATTTCAATTCCTTCAGTGTCCAGATTAAAAAAAAAATGTGTCTAATTTCACACAACAAAGCATGAAAGGAGACAAAAAAATTGTACACATGCATCATGTAGATCAGACATGACAGTTAAGGAGAGAAACAACCGCCAGACAAAAAGCTGTTCAGATACCTCTCCTCCATTCAAAATGAGTCCCTTGGGAAGATTAAGAAAACATCTTCCCGGCACATAACACAAAGTGAAGTGAAATTGCATAAGGGGCTTCTTTTCTCTGTAAAACAGATGCTGCATTGGGTTGGCTAAAGGATTTACCAAGCAATGAGATACCAGCAGTGAGTAAAAAGACTTCCATTGCTTACTCTGTCTTGGAAAGCTGCTTTCCAGTTCAGCTTCACCAGACCTTCTAGTAGCCAATTTTTTTCTTTCTATCATAATTTCTTCTACATGCTTTCCCATGGAGCTACTCAGTCAGGGAGAACCTTCATTCCAAGTTGGGTAATGGATCTATTGTTAACATGTCGGTTATTGGTAAGGAAGATAAAAACATGCCAAATGTTTTGGCCCGTCACTGCTGTAATTATTCACAGGACACTCTAGAGCTACTTTTGGTGTAGTGGGAAGAAAGATAGATAAACATAGATAGATAAAAAAGATAAAATACATGCTTGTTGAGCTGGAAGAAGAATATGGAAGAAAGAAATTGGGAAAAATAAACAAAAGCTACTTAGTGGCATTGCACCATACATGCCCTAAATAGGAAACAAAAACCATTTTCATCTGATACGATATCACCCATGATTTCTACAACTATGTCATTACTACCATCTTGTATATGAATTCTTCCATTCTCCAGATAAAAACAACTGTGTGCTCTTTCACAGAACCTGGAATGAAATGGTTCCAAAACACACAAATATATTAAAATATTCTGAGTGATTTTTTTCACTCCTGTTTTCTTCCACCTTCAAAAAAATCAAAATAGCCAGACAGAATTATCCTTGCATTGAATTTTTTTTGTTTAATATTTATTGATTAACACAAGAGTCCATTGCTAAGAAAACAGGACCTTTAACAGACAGAGAGTAAAAGGCTTTCCAAAATCTTGAACAACCTGATCACATTTCATATGTGAACTTGGGTACATGTCAGTTAAAATCCTACCAATTTTTGGTGAAGGAGGAAGAAGGATAAAATGGCTGCTTGTTCAGGAGGAGGAAGAATATGAAGAAGGGAGAAATAGAAAAGTAGTACTGCTAGCCAGTAGTACTGCTAGCCAGTATACTTGGCTAATAGGGCTGCGTACCACCTGCCACTCGTTAATGTACCACAAGTGGTATGCGTACCACTGGTTGAAAAGCCCTGAACTAGGTTACCAAACTATCATTTACTTTATTAAACATTTTAGGTCACTTCAAATATCTTACTTTTTGAGTTCCACAGATATAATAATGCACTTCTCATCACCTTTCATATTTCCCCACACGGATATCCAGAACTGATCTAATTCTCCCCCTTTGCGGCTCACTCCCCAGGGAGAATCTTCACTCCAACATTGCTGCTGAATCCATTTTTAGTCAATAGAAAAGAAGGTTAAAAACAGGCCAGATATTTTGACTCTCGCTCCTTTGAATGTTTCTGATGAAGTTTTTGGTAGGGAGACAAATGGAGTGCTAGCTCACATGGAAGAAGAATATGAAAGAAAAGAATGGTAGAAAAAAAATAAAAGTTACGTACTGTTATTCCACCTACATTAGCACCATTCGTGCCCTAAAAGGGAAGCAAAAGGAAACCATTTTAGTCTGTTTGATTGCATCCATGACTTCTCCAACCATGCCATCACTTCCATCTTCAGTATCTGGCAATAACAGAAGACATCAAGGAAATGGAAGGCATTAAATATATATTTAATGCTCCTGCCCTCTTGAACATCGTGCCCCACATGTTGAGAACTATATCCAGCCTTTTGCCCTTCTGAAAGAGCTTGAAAACCTGGCTGAGCTAATTAGCCTGGGGTGCCAATGAGGACATATCATACTGGAAGTGGATAGTGGACTGAGATAAGACTCCACTTCCATCTTCTTGCTCTGTTCCTAGACACCTTTGTTAATTAAAAGTCAATTTTAAGTTTAATATGTATTATTTTATTAAAAGCCATGGTGGCACAGTGGTTAGAATACAGTATTGCAGACTAACTCAGCATTCCGCTGCCAGGAATTCGATTCCGGCTGACTTAAGGTTGATTCAGCTTTCCATCCTTTCAAGGTGGTAAAATGATGAACCAGATTGTTGGGGGCAATATGCTGACTCTATAAACCGCTTAGAGAGAGCTTAAAAGCATTATGAAGTGGTATATAAGTCTAGGTGCTAATGCTATAATACTATTATTTTAATATTTAATGTTTTATCTTATTCTTTTTACTTGGTTTTAAGCTGCCTAGAGTCACCTCTTGGTGACATAGGTGGCATATAAGTTTAATACATAAATAATGTTGACTTACCCCCTGATTATTTGACCCTGTTCTGTGACCTCCTGAACTCTGCAAGAAGGAGGAAAAAAATCACCCTGGATAATGAATGTCTTTGTAATTATTTTGTCATATCTTCAGCACATGAGGAGGAGGTTATACAAATAAAATGCGAAGGGAGCTTTGACGGCTACAAAGGGTATATTTTCTTTTAATTTAATTGATTCCAATTAATTCACCATCCAAGCTCAATAATGAAACCAACAACTTTAAATGGAGTAGAAAAGAGAATAAAAGATGGGGAATTTACCCACATTCCATGAGCACCATTTATGCCCTTAAAGGGAAACAAAAGGGAACTGTTCTAATCTGATATGAAATCACTCCTGGTTTTTCCAACTGTGCCATATAGTATCTTATATATGATTTTTTTCAGATTAATTCTTCAGATAAAAATCCTATATTCTTTCTCACAACATGGATCTTTAAACCAATGCATTTCTGAGAGATCTTTTTTCAATATTCTTCCACATTCACAAAAAGACAATGTGTACAGAGAAAAAAAAACCTTGCACTGAATTCATGCCACAATACATAAATTTATTACTGAGGACAGGCAACATTTAATAGACAGAGCTCCGGGGTTAAATCTCTTTCCAGAACCTTCCACAATGCGATCACATTTCACACATGAATTTGAGTTCGCTTAGTTACTAACCAACTCAAGGGCAAGCCTACCAGCTGCACTGACACATCAGTCTTAAATGCGGATATTTTGCACTTGATTGGGTTTCTTCTAATTGCCCTATGGATTTTCTGTGACTGTGAATTATTTGATCTGGTTACAATTTAATATGTTGCATAAACTCCGGAGAGATGGTTAGACTAATAGCCAGAATAAGTGTCTTGCCTTGCTCTGTAAAATGAAAGAGGGTTCTTAAGGTAGACTTTTACTTTATTAAATATTTCAGATCATTTGAAAAAAAAATCCCTTTGGGGGGTTTTACAATACTTACAGGTGAAAGAAGCCCTGGAAAAGGAAGTGAGGGAATCTACTGCATCTGAATTCCATTGCATGCAAAAAGCACATCTTTGGGACCATATAGATCAGTCAAAAACATTAAGGACTGAAACAACAGTGGCTAAAAAAGAATCCTTTAAGAAGATTCAGAAACGTTTTCCTCTCACATGTCCCAAAATGTGTTCGGTTGCCTACAAGATTTAGCAGCCAATGAGAACCCAGCAGTCAGTAAGGACTTCCTTCACACATCATACCATGAAAAACTTCTGTCTGTTTAACTTTCATCAAGATCCTTTTCAATGTTATGTCAACTTCCACCTCCTTCTGCTTCATGTTAGAAAATTTTTTAAAAATAGGCATGGTTTTATGTACAAGTTCTCTGCCCATTGAGATCTCCTTTACATTATTTCTTAGCTTCCCTATCAAGCTTTCTCTCTTTCCAGGCCTTAAAATAGGTTTTTCCAATCACCCTAGCTTCCTACCTTCTCCAACATCATGTCTATGTTTCTCTACAAACATTACTAACTTTATCCGAATTCCTACTGGAATTCCTCCTGGAATATAGGGAGATGATTTGGGGGAGTGAGCCTCAAGAGGGTGGCTGTGGTTACATACACAAAAAATTTCAGAAAAGACTTCAAGGAAATAAGAGACATTAAATGCATACCGACTTACCCCTTGATTACTTGACTGTCTATTATTCCTTTTGCCAATCATTGAATTGTACTAAAAGGGGAATAACAAGTCAGCTTGGATTATGGATGCTTTTGAAACCTTGTTGTGATAGTTCATGTTTTGGGGGCTCTGTCTGGGCCTCTGCAGTTTGTTAAAATAAAATGGGGCCCCTTCTGAGAGCTAACTGTGGTTCAGAATGCAGTTGCATAAGAAGAAATTGGAACTTCTAATTATGTCACTGCTATGCAACCTGCATTCCAGCACTACTTGTATTATTAAAGAAAAACTAGGCGTTTTGAAATCCACAGTAGATATACAGAAATAGAGATTCAGTATAAAGAATTAGAAAGGACAACAGAAGCCTTCTTCTCCAACCCCCTGCTCAAGCAGGATATGCATAATTCTGTATTTATTTTTTTATTTTATTTTTGTCATGCTTATGTTGTGTATATTGGAGGTGGTGACCCTTTGAGAACTGTATGCGATGAAATTTCATTTTAAGGTAAGCCGATTGGTGTACATTCAAAGTGACAATAAAGTTATTATTCTATTCTGTTCAGATCCTGTATCATTCCAGACCAAATGTTTGTCCAATCACTTCTTGAAAACCTCCAGTGATGGAGCATCCACAACTTCTGGAGGCAAGTCATTTCTAATGACTAACTATTCTCACTGTCAGGAAATTTCTCCTTAAATCTAGGCTGGATCTATGTTTAATGATCTTCCACACATTACTTCTGGTCCTGCCTTCAGGATCTTTGAAGAATAGGTTGACCCCCCTCTACTCTGTGACAGCCCCTCAAATATAGGATGCCCTATGATTGCATATTAAATACTGTATGGTTGCATACGTTATGATATATTAAAATGAGATTCAGGTCTGTGTTCTGAGGAAACCTGAGAATACAAAAACAGTGACATGCATGTTGTGGTATCATCTCATAGATTGTGAAATTACTTCCTTGATAATTATGTATAACTCCCTTTCGGGGTCCCACAGACATTATAATGCACATCTCACCCTTTGTAATCTTCCCCACATGGATATTCACAGCTGAGATCTAATTTTCCCCCTTTGATACAGTCCACAGGGGGAATCTTCACCCCAATACAACTGCTGGATCTATTTTTAAGAGATCAGTTATTTGAAAGGAAAGTAAAAACATGTCAAATGCTTTGGCCTTGCCTGCTGTGATTATACTCTGTTGACTCTATGATATAAAAAGATCAAGAGAGATATTTGTTCAGATCAAAGAAGAATATGAAAGAAAGGAATAGCCAAAGTTGAACAAAAGCTACTTACCATTTGTTCAGCTTTTTTGAACACATTCTAAAATGGAAACAAAAGGATATCTTTATAATTATGTTGTGGCAATATATGCTATCAGCATTGTGAGGGTCAGGCCTGGGCCCTTGCAATTTCTTCTGGTCAATAGTGGACCCTCAAGGGTCACAAAGGGTGTTAATGTGAATGGAACAGACACAGCAGAACTATTGTCCAAAGAAATGGCTGCTTTCCAAATATTCTGCACATAAAACCACATAGCTCTCATCATGCCATAATTCCCATCTTCAATGTTATATATCCTTATCATATGGATGGAAGCAATGGATGGAAACTAATCAAAGAGAGAAGCAACCTAAAACTAAGGAGAAATTTCCTGACAGTTAGAACAATTAATCAGAGGAACAACCTGTCTCCGGAAGCAGTGAATGCTTTGTCTGAAATGGTATAGGGTTTCCTGCCTGAGTAGGGGTTAGACTAGATGACCTCCAAGGTCCCTTCCAACATTATTATTATTATTATTATTATTATTATTATTATTATTATTACTACTACTACTACTACTACTACTACTACTACTACTACTACTACTACTACTGATAATTATATTTCATTTCATTCCTTGGAGAGAAAATATGCCTTTCTTATCACAACAGAGAGTGATTGGGATCAAATAGACACACATTAATTAAGACTGTTCTGCAGGTCTATTACATAACTATTTTTTTCAAATCTGGCAACTTTTAAGAAGTACGGACTTCAAATTCCAGAACTCCCCAGCCAGCATGGTCTGAGTTGAGTTCTATGCATCTAAACCTAGTTTGAAGAACTAGTTTATCTAGTTTGAGAAACACTGCCCTAAATGGAAATCTTCATGGGAAGAGGACTTAAAGCATACCTACTTTATCCAGTCTGGCAGAATGGGCAGATATCTTTAAGAAAAGTCCAAATCTTTATAGAGCAGTGGTTCTCAACCTGTGGGTCGGGACCCCATTTGTGGTCAAATGACCATTTCACGGGAGTCGCCAAACAACACAGTCCGCCATTTTTTCCCCCCTTTTCCTTAGCTGTGCTACTCCCTTTTATTCTATTGGCTTTTGAAAGCCAATAGAATAGACTCTCTTGAATAGAGTTTAATTCTATTGGCTTTCAAAAGCCAATAGGAATTGTCCAGGCTGTCTCTGCCCTGCTGAGCCCGCCAAAAGTCCCATTCTGCAAACGGTGCTGCACCAGTTGAGTAGTCCTCGACTTACGACCGGTTGAGTAGTCCTCGACTTACGACCGGTTGGGGTCGCGGCATTAAAAAGGTTGAGAACCACTGTTATAGATTTTCTTGCCCTCTTCTTCTAAGCCCCAAAAGAGACCGGTGAAGCCAGAATCTTTCAAATTCTGACAATGGTCATAATGATGTCCTCCTAAAAAATATTCTCAAGAGCTTATAGTTTCCTGCTGAATTATTCCTGAAATGTCTGTAAATGCTTGGAGGGTTGAGAGTGAGTCTAAAGCGGATGACTTTGATTACATCTAAGAAGGATAACATAGAAAACAAAAGAAATGAGATAAGTGTGTATATACTTACAATAAGGTTAGTCACCCCTTTGCCAAATTCAGCATTCTGGATAATAGGTAACAATTTTTTTGCGAGGACCTGTAAGGAGCAAGAAAAACCATTATCCCCTTTATGAATTCCTGAATAACATCTATCATACCAATAGGAAATAATGCCTCTTGATTTTTCCAAGAGGAAAAAAAAACATTATCCTCTTTTATAGATTCCTTCATAACCATGTTGCACTATTCCTCTTCAAGGACAACAAAGTCAAGTTGGTTTTCCAAAACATATCCTGATAAAATAAATCCTTGGAAGGGAAATGAGGGAAGACACCTTACTAGCAAAACTAGTAAAGAGTATTTGAGCCAAGAATTTACCATTTTATAGAAGGAAAAAAAAAACACACACACAAGCAGGGAAAAGTAACTTTGGAGAAATCCTCCCCATCCAAAAAGTGTCCCTTGGGAAATCCAAAATACAGGTTTCTCCCTTTGCTACTCAGTACCCAGGAATACCACTACTCCAATTTGGGAGTTGGTGTTGTTGTAACATGTATAGAAGGTATTATAAGCTGCTTTAAAAAGGAAAATGAACAAGTGAAATGTCTATGGAGATTCTCAGTCATCCAGGCCATGGCTGCCCCAAAGGTGTTTTTTCACGAGGCAACTGGATTTTCTTGTTTTTCTTTGAAGACGTTTCACTTCTCATCCAAGAAGCTTCTTCAACTCTGACTGGATGCTCAGGAAGGATTTATATTCCTTGCAGACAGCTGGTCATTTGCATTCTTTTAGAGCAGGGGTCTTCAAACTCAGCCCTTTTATGACCCATGGACTTCAACTCCCAGAATTCCTCAGCCACCATGCCTGGCTGAGGAATTCTGGGAGTTGAAGTCCATGAGTCATCAAAGGTTCAAGTTTGAAGACCCATGTTTTAGAGAGTAGTTGTCAGAATCCAATTATATTTCATCTCTAGTTATCAATTATAAAAAACCCCATTTCTGCCTTCTATGGATTCTGCCATATGAGGAAGGGAAGGGGTGAACAAAGGGGTTTATGGCCCTCACTTCCTTTGGTATACTTCAAAGGAACTGGATGTGTGTATCACCAAAAGGACTAACCATAAGAATGGGGCTATTACTTTTCATGTAGTTCTCTTTGAAGTCTCCACCCAGCCGGCAGTAAGGAAAAGAGGGTGGGAGTGTAATGCCTGAGACTGTCATTGGAAGAGGGGGGTGATTGGGTGGGGCTACTGGGGAACCCCTTAAAACCTTGAATGGGAGAGCTTGGACCCCAAGTCCTGTCTAGAACGCCTGAAACCATTTTCTCTTAATAAAGGATGCCTGTTGGAAGAATTATTCCAAGAGTTCTGTCTTCTTAAGATGCAAAGTGGGGTGGGTCCTTACAGTAGTTGAGGCCACTTGGAGGCCACTCTGTGTTGAGGCCACTCTGTGTCCTCAGGATCACCTGGGTAGTGCAAATGGGTGTGAAGGCTTCTTGAACTGATCCAATCAAAACTGAAGAAACTTCTTGGATAAGAAGCAAAAAGTCTTGAAAGAAAAACAAGAAAATCCAGGTGCCTCTTGAAAAAGAACCTTTGGGACAAAAGGTGAAATGTTTTGGCCCAGCCTGCTCTCTTTCTGCTCTGGGGTCTCTGAAGATGCTTTCTGGGAGGTGTGGAATAACAAAAAGGATGTTTTATTGAATGCAGGAAGAATAGTACTAAAAGAAGGGGCAGAATATGAAAAAAAAAATCTACTTACCACTAGGTCACTAATCCTAGCTTTGCCTTGTTTACCCATATTCTACAAGGAAAACAAAAGTTATAATTTTTACTTTGAAATGATATCACATATGATTTTTGTAACTATACCATCTTTGATGTAAGTGCTATGGCAAATGACATGATGTCATAAAATGCATTGTAGTCTTCTCCATCAAGCTGGACCATGAGAGGTTTATAATGACACAAAAATGATATGCATGACATGATATCACCACAAACAAGTTGCAATTATCTACTTCATCTCTAGATGGGATCTCTAATCCCAACAACTGCTGGAAGACAGCACTGTGAATATGTCTTGGCTTGCCCCTATTTCTCATAGGCACACCCATGGCTGAGATCTGATCCCTGCCTCTGCTACTCATTCCTCAGGGGAAATATCACCACAATTTGGCAGTAGGAGTTTATTTAATGGATAAATTGTTTCTAAAAGGAAAGATGAAGCTGGTGAAATGTTTTTGCCTTGGCTGTATATTTATGCTCTGGGAAGATGCTTTCTGGCAGGGGTAGAATCACAAAAGGGATGTTTCATGCCGTGTAAGAACAATATCACTAAATGAAAAGGAAGAAGATGGAGAAAGAGCTACTTACAATCAATATCTGAATATCTTTTTCATTCAAAGCATTCTACAATGGAAAGAAGCACATCAAAGTCTATTCTGACATGAAGACATCCAGGACTTCTCTATCCATGCCATCACTATCACTTTGGGATATCATATACAAGAATTGCTACTTCCCTCCCCTTAGGAAACACACTTTTCTTATCTCAGCAGGGAGTGCTTAGTCTAAAAATCAAATCTGAATTAACAGTGTCCCAAGGCTTCTTTTTTTTCCTTTTTTTTTCTCTTTTCAGTTGTGTGAAATAGACTCGTGTATATTAACTATGCAAATTTGTGTCTCCACCTATATGTGCTCTACTTGATTTTGAATGTAGCCATGTCAAGAAAAAGGACTATTGAAAACCCACAATAGCATTTCATTTCCTCTTCCAACTGCTACAAGAATGTTAGCTCAGATTCAGAGCATCTGCTGGTCAGAAAAAGATCCCCCAAAGATTTAGACCATCCTGAACGCTAAAGCCCCCTTTTTAACACTTAACTCCCTCCCACCCATCTAAGTTTGGGGACTGTGGAAGACGGCCATACTTTTTAAAAATGAGACAACTATCATAGATTTGATCATCATACTTTTTAAAGAATGAGACAACTATCATAGCTTTCATCATATCATAACTATCCTCCTAAATATATAGCATGAGTATATCTCCCTGCTTTGTGTACAAATGCTAAATGTTGGTGCGGGTAGGGTAGAATCCAACAAGGGCTGTTTCATCAAATGCAAGAAAGATATTTCACATGGAAAAGAGAGAAGATGATCAAAAAGCTACTTACAATTACTTTTATCATGATTTCCTCCGACAGTTCCTTCTACAATGGAAACAAAGGGTATCATCTCTATTCTCTTATTAAAGTATATATGACTTTTCCAACCATGGTATCTCTACCATTTCATATATCATAAAAAATAATTCCTTCATTCTTCAGATGGTAAACATACATTATTCATTACAGCAGGAAATGATTTATAATCAAAAATACAAACATGAATTAATGGTATTCTGATGGTATAGCTTGCCCTTTTCTTTCTCTTTTCAATATTCTTCCATATGCAATGTCAACGTTGCTAACATTGGATGTTTTTGCTTTGACAACAGTTAGAGATGCAACCATTTTTTTCTTATGTTTTACTTTTAGAGTTAGATGATGCTAGGAGGGGGGAGGAATGTGCATGAGAGTTTAGATAGACATAATAATACTGGCCTTAGTGTGTGAACCAAGGTTAATGAAATAAGAGATGATAAGAATTGGCAGGCTGGAGAACTGGAGGCAAGGCCTGCATTTCAAACTAATTGGAGAATGTGATTTATGACTGTTAATTGGAGGAGGGAATTGGACTCATGGGAGGGGAATCCAGTTTTTGGCTTCGACTGTGTTAGTGCCGATGCTGTTACTCAAATAAAGATTCTTTAAGGTAAACAATGCCTCAAAGTTCTTTGAAAAGTTTCATTTGTCAGAACCATGACACGCACACAATAACAAGAAACACATAGAAACCTGAATCAAAAACAGTGGTGGGATTCAGCCTGTTCGCACCACTTCGGCAGAACCAGTAGCTAATTTTTTGTTGCCCAGGCCCAGCATCCACACAGAGAACCAGTTGTTCACCTATTTGAATCCCACCACTGATCAAAAAGCTTGCATTGGCTTTATGCATGAACACAAAAGAGGGTTTCAGAGAAAAGAGATAGCAATAGACTTATATACTTTTCCATAATGCTCTGCAGTACTCTCTAGGTGGTTTACAATCTCAGCATAATGCCTCCAACAATCTAGGTCCTCATTTTACCAACCTTGGAAGAATAAAAGGCTAAGTCAACCCTGAGCCCCATCAGGATTGAACTCCAGGCTATGGGCAGAGTTTGCCTGCAATACTGCATTCTAAGCACTGCACCATCAGAGCTCTTTAGATCCTTTAATAGATATGCCTCTTGAAGTTGAAGCTCTTCTAAGAATATGCACTACATGTCTTCATTTCATATGTGAACCTAGATTTATCCTAGTTATCTCACAACCATTAGGGACTGAAACTACCACTAGAGCAGTGTTTGTCAATTGCATCTATTTTTCTCATGCATATCTTATATTTATCTCATGCTGCTACCTTATATCAGTAAATGGTAGGAAATTCAATCTATTATAAAAAAATAGGGATGAGATTGCAAATGGCACACTGTAAGAAAATAAGGGTCCATCTTGTAATACATCATGAAGTAGGTGCCTCGACAACTTATGATGATACAAAAATGAAGATATATGTGCCGTGATGTCAACACACAAAGGTCGCAAGTAGCTACTTGCTGACACCACTCACAACAACTGCAGCCATGACATCATCTTGCACACATGATCACTTGTCCCTTTTCCACAGAGGGCTATCCATGTGAGAAATCAAAATCTTTTTCTTTAGCCGGGGAGGGGGGACATCTGTCCAATTTAGCTGGTGGGTTTTTGTTTCTGTTCTGAAGGGGTCAATTGGTTGCTTTAAGCTACTTAAAAAGCAAATGTAAAAATAAATCAAATGTTTTTATCCTATTTTCTGGGTTTGTATTTTCTGAGCTCTGGAGATGCTTTAAGTGTTGGGTGAAGAAAAAAAATAAAAACAGAGGTGCCTGTTCAAATGCAAGAATAATATTAAAGAAAGAAATGGAAGTAAATAAATCAAACTTACTTACTACCAAATCATTCAGAGGACCATCTTTGATGAAGGTTTTCTACAAAGGAAATGAAGGAGATCAGTTCTATTCAGACAAGATAAAAATCACTAAATATAACTATACCATAACAGATATCATCAATACCATATCAATTTCTTCTATATCTTTCACTCTCCAAATAGGAACTATGCCTTTCTAATCACAAATGGGAGCGATAAAGCCTAAAAGACCACATGAATTAATAGCATTCTAAGACTTTATTGTTGTTATTGTGAGCAAAGACTTTATATATATATATATATATATATATATATATATATATGAACATATATGTTTTCTGAGGTTTTCGCGGGTGTTTGTATATAGGTCTTTGGTTGTTCGGGTTTTCTCCCGCGTAAAATTGGAAGTGTCTTGGCAACGTTTCAACGAAGTCCCATTCGTCATCTTCAGGCTGGTGTTTTCAGCTTCGTGCTTTGAGCAGCAATGTGTGGTCTTAACTGTTTCTTCCTTTTAACTGCCAGTGGGGGTATGAACTGATTGGGTGGGAGCTTGGCTGTGTTCTGATTGGGTGGAGGTGTGTTCTGATTGGTTAGGGGCTTGGCTGTGCTCTGATTAGCTGGGGGGTTGGCTGTGCTCTGATTGGCTGGGGGGTTGGCTGTGCTCTGATTGGCTGGGGGAGTGTTCTGTTTGGTTATGCTCAGGTTAGTCTGAGTTGCAGGGAGGTTTAAGATTTTGGGCTGCCTTGCTATTTTTTGGCTTCGCGTTCGTGGTCGTGCCTCATCTTCATGGAGGGTGTCAGTTTGCTTCATGTATGGATTGGAGGGGTTTAAAGTGGCTAAGGATGCAACTGTAGTCTGGCTTCTGGTTTGTGGTCGTGCCTCATCATCGGTGTGGCTTTGGGTTTGCTTTTTGCGTGGATGTGTGGTGGTGACATCCTGTGTGGTTTTTGTGAGTGTGGGTCTGGTATCATTTTTTCTGTTAGGGAGTCGTTTGTCAATAAGGACGGGTTTCCAAATGGCTGGTAGGCGGGAGGTATCATCTCGCTTGTTCATGCTGTGTGGACATTTTTCTAACTCGATGGCTTCTCTGATTATTCTGTTATTAAAATGTTCACTTTTGGCAATGATTCTGGTATTTTTAAAGTCAATTTTATGTCCTGTGGGTTTAAGGTGTTGGACCAGGGAAGATTTTGGTTCCTCTTTTTTGACTGAGTTCTTATGTTCTTCAATGCGTGCACTTATTCTTCTGTTGGTTTGTCCGATGTATGTGTTGGGACAAGCAGTGCATGGGATTTCATATACTCCTTGATTTTCTAACTCAATTTTATCTTTGGGGTTTCTAAGGATGGTGGATATTTTTCTGTTTGTGCAGAATGCTGTTTTGATGTTGTGTTTATGGAGGATCTTACTGATTCTGTCTGTGGTGCCTTTTATGTATGGGAGGAGGGCTTTGCCATTTTCTTGTTCTTTGTCTTGGATTTTAGTGGGATTTTTTGGATTAGGTTTGTAATCTTATTTCTTTGGAATCCATTGGATGTTAGTACATTGGTAAGAGTGTGTAGTTCGGTTTTTAGGTGTTGTTCGTCAGCTAAGTGTTTTGTTCTGGAGATGAGTGTCTTGGCTACGGAGTTGATCTGTGCTGGGTGGTGGTGTGAGAGAGCGTGCAGATAGCGGTTTGTGTGTGTTTTCTTCTGGTAGATGGTGTGTCCTAGGGAGCCATTGGATTTCTTGTAGACTAAGACATCCAGGAAGGGAAGTTGGTTGTTAGCTTCTGTTTCCATGGTGAACTGTATTTTGGGGTGTAGGCTGTTGAGGTGTGTGAGGAAGTTGTCCAGTTTTTCTTTCCCATGTGGCCAGATTATGAAGGTGTCGTCTACGTATCTGAGCCAGAGTTTGGGTTTGTGATCCGATTTTTCTAGAGCTTGGGTTTCAAAGTGTTCCATGTAGAGGTTTGGCAATGACAGGTGAGAGGGGTGATCCCATGGGTGCTCCTTCTGTTTGTTTGTATTTTTGTCCATTATAGATGAAGTATGTGTTGGATAGGCAGTGGTTGGTCAGATCTAAGATGTGTTTGGGGGGGTTATATTTGTTTTGGATAGCTGTCAAGGCTTCTTTGATAGGCACTTGGGTGAAGAGGGATATGACATCGAAGCTCACGAGTAGGTCGCTGGGCTGTAAGTTTTGTTTCTTTATGATCTCTATAAACTGGAATGAGTTTTTTACGTGTGAGGTGATGGATTCTGCATAGGGCTGTAGTTGTTTGGCGAGAAATTTGGCTAGGTTTTGTAGAGGTGAGCCTATGGAGCTGACTATAGGTCTGAGTGGGGTTCCTTCTTTGTGTATCTTGGGGAGACCATAGAGTTTGGGGCATCTGGATGATTTCTCTCTGGGAATGATTCTTTGCTGGATCTCTTCGCTAATGGGGGAGGCTTTTATTTTGGATCTGGTGGTTTTTTCCAGGTAGGTGGTGGGATCTGTATTTAGGGGTTTGTATGTGGAGTCTTGGAGTAGGTTGGTTAATTTGGTTTGGTAGTCAGATGTGTTCATAACCACCGTGGCGTTGCCCTTGTCTGCTGGTAGGATTATTATGCTGGTGTCTTCTTTCAGGTTACGTAGTGCTGTCTGTTCCTCTTTGGGTAAGTTGTTTTTGGGTGGCTTGCTGGTGCAGAGGATGTTGGTGATTTTGAGTCTGATTCTGTTTCTGTTCGAAACAGAAACCTTCAGCTGGTGCTGAAATCTTCAGCACCAGCCTGAAGATGACGAATGAGACCTCGTCGAAATGTCGCCAAGACACTTCCAATTTTACATGGGAGAAAACCCGAATAACCAAAGACCTACATATATATATATATATATATATATATATATATATATATATATATATATATATATATTATATATATATTGTCCAAATAATAATGATCACCAAGAGAGTATCTATTAAAAATAGAATTTAATCCACCGAGCTTTCGTCAAACACATTTGACATCATCAGGGTTAAAAGGCAAACGCCGGGGAAAGGTCTTATATACAGTTGTTTAATGTCTGTTTCCGGCTCCTGGAGCGTGTCATAGGCCCCAGCTGATCGAGTTGAATCTCAAGCATATGCCCCACATCAGTATCTATCCTCTTTACATTGCTAGTTTGCGTTCTGTCATGCGTTACTCCGTCAGTTGTTTCAGGGTTGGGGATCAAGATCTTTTTGCCTTCCCTGCTCATAACCCCTCCACCATCCCACACACAACTTCCCTTTGGGAGCGGGGGTGGGCAATTATTTACACTGCTTTCAATATCTCTGCAAGCCCCAAGGCTGCTTTGATCTTGTTTATCTATCTCTCGGAGTTGTGACGCAGGCTCATAGTCCCCGCCCATACTATTCCTCCTCCCCTCCTTCTTCCCGTGGGTTCTCCTAAGCGGTCTGCTGTTCATTTCCACGCTCTCTCTCTTACGCACAGTCAGAATGTTTCCTGCTGTTGTCCCATTGTCATTGCCTCGTTGTTCCATCCATTGTCGATGAGCACCATTGCCGCTCATCCCCAATTCTCCGTTCCCACTCCGTACGGTGCTCTTCCCCTTTAATTGCAGTCTCTGTTTCATCCCATAACTTTGTGTTGAGAGTATCGGAAGGTGGTGCATTCTTCTGCTCGACTGCGACCGAGTTGTCATAATGTGCCTGGTAATATCCTCAAAGGGGGATTCGTCCTCGTTCTCATCGTCTTTGTTGGACCTAGTTGTGTTCCGTTTTTCTTCCGGTTCCTCAGGCTTCACTCCATCTCCATTCCGTCTCAACGGTAATCCGCTCCCTACGGATCGTGGCAAACTCAGCTGCAGTTGTCTGCTAGAGTTAGTCTGTTGTTGATCCGGGAGGGGGGAGCTGTCAATGGAGACTCCATTGATGTGATTACGTAGGGAGGGGGGCCGGGCGGTATTCTCTTGGTTATAAGTTTTTTGGTTGGGTCCCCTCCACACATTAGCACGGTTACCGGCACTCCATATTTTCAGAGCTTGGTGCGCTGTGCACAAATCTACATGCCGATTGATGGATTCCGTTCCTGAAAACCATGCCTCTTTCAATAGGCGACCTCTTTTTGTCATATCGTTGGCCAAGATTTGGGCATTCTCAAAATCAAAGCAGTGATCATGTTCTGCTAAGTGATCGTGTTCTGCTAAGCGGCACAGTATGGTATCAGGACCTCGAAATGGACAACAAAGAGAGGAACCCCGGACACGAACCGTACGAGTGTCGCTGCCGTACATTAGTAACGTGTCAGAAGCCACAGCCAGGCTCCTGGCACCCCACAACATACAGGTAGCTCATAAACCTACCCAGACCTTACGAGCTAAAGTGATGCGCCCCAAGGACCAGCTCCCCACCGCCGAGAGATCAGCCATAGTTTATAGAATCAATTGCACAGACTGCCAGAGGAATTATGTAGGCGAGACCTCGAAAAGACTTAAGACTCGTCTACATGAACACAGGTTAGCCATTAGACGAGGTGAACAACATTCGCAGATTTGGGCCCATGTAGCAGAACACGATCACTGCTTTGATTTTGAGAATGCCCAAATCTTGGCCAACGATATGACAAAAAGAGGTCGCCTATTGAAAGAGGCATGGTTTTCAGGAACGGAATCCATCAATCGGCGTGTAGATTTGTGCACAGCGCACCAAGCTCTGAAAATATGGAGTGCCGGTAACCGTGCTAATGTGTGGAGGGGACCCAACCAAAAAACTTATAACCAAGAGAATACCGCCCGGCCCCCCTCCCTACGTAATCACATCAATGGAGTCTCCATTGACAGCTCCCCCCTCCCGGATCAACAACAGACTAACTCTAGCAGACAACTGCAGCTGAGTTTGCCACGATCCGTAGGGAGCGGATTACCGTTGAGACGGAATGGAGATGGAGTGAAGCCTGAGGACCCGGAAGAAAAACGGAACACAACTAGGTCCAACAAAGACGATGAGAACGAGGACGAATCCCCCTTTGAGGATATTACCAGGCACATTATGACAACTCGGTCGCAGTCGAGCAGAAGAATGCACCACCTTCCGATACTCTCAACACAAAGTTATGGGATGAAACAGAGACTGCAATTAAAGGGGAAGAGCACCGTACGGAGTGGGAATGGAGAATTGGGGATGAGCGGCAATGGTGCTCATCGACAATGGATGGAACAACGAGGCAATGACAATGGGACAACAGCAGGAAGCATTCTGACTGTGCGTAAGAGAGAGAGCGTGGAAATGAACAGCAGACCGCTTAGGAGAACCCACGGGAAGAAGGAGGGGAGGAGGAATAGTATGGGCGGGGACTATGAGCCTGCGTCACAACTCCGAGAGATAGATAAACAAGATCAAAGCAGCCTTGGGGCTTGCAGAGATATTGAAAGCAGTGTAAATAATTGCCCACCCCCGCTCCCAAAGGGAAGTTGTGTGTGGGATGGTGGAGGGGTTATGAGCAGGGAAGGCAAAAAGATCTTGATCCCCAACCCTGAAACAACTGACGGAGTAACGCATGACAGAACGCAAACTAGCAATGTAAAGAGGATAGATGCTGATGTGGGGCGTATGCTAGAGATTCAACTCGATCAGCTGGGGCCTATGACACGCTCCAGGAGCCGGAAACAGACATTAAACAACTGTATATAAGACCTTTCCCCGGCGTTTGCCTTTTAACCCTGACGATGTCAAATGTGTTTGACGAAAGCTCGGTGGATTAAATTCTATTTTTAATAGATACTCTCTTGGTGATCATTATTATTTGGACAATATGAATATTCCCAGGAGTCGCATTTTTGTTTTTATTTCTAATATATATATATATATATATATATATATATATATATATATATATATATATATATATATATATATATATATAATAATATGTGATCACCAGGAGAGTTTAAGTAAGAAAAATCAGGGCTAAAAAGCCAGTTTAACAAGAATGACTTAAATAGGTTTGGCTGACACCTGCACCTGCACCTGCACCTGGCTCCTAGACACCCTCGTATCCCCTCCCCTTTGGTGATATTTACTCTCATCACATCCTTCTTTCTGCTACGGGTCTCAGGGGCGTTCAATTCAATGCTAATCCTCATTCCGTTAGGGCTCCAGAGGTCTTCTAAAGGATTCCTGACATCTTTTAAGCCTAAGCCACCAAGATCTGTGAAGCCAGACTGTTTCAAATTCTGGCAATAGTTAAATTGATGCCCTCCCTTAAATATTTAAATATTCCCAAGAATTTATAGCTTCCTGCTGGAATAGTTTCTGAAAGGTGCAGAAATCTTTTGGGAGAATGAGGCTCAAGAGGGCTGCTGTGATCACATCTAAACAGGATAACATAGAAGATATAGAGGAAATGAGTGAACTTAAGAGTGTATATACTCACAATCAGTGAACATCCTGCTTTGCCACCATTAATTCCCTTAATAATTTCTAATATGGCAGGTATTATTACCTATAAGAAAGGAGAAAAAAATCATCTTTTTTATAGATTTCTTCTTAACCATGTTGTTCCAATGCAAGATAAAAGCATCTACCTTGCCTGGGCCACTGTAGCCCATTAAAATAAACTGGTAAATCCTTGAGGACCACACAGGCTATTGATGTGAATGGCCTTACAACACCAGAGTAGGTAGGCAAAGCCATATGGATCATTTGAAACTAGAAAGGTAAAAAAAAAAAAAAGCCATGACAGGGATTCCAGGTATGCTACTATATTGTCAGATTTAGTAGCAGATTCTTGAAGCCTTCATTACTCCTTTTTAAGAAAACAAAGTGAAGACTCTCTTTCTCACCCATTCTACTTGCCCAGAGCTGAACAACCATTTTCTTCTCCTTCTTCCTTCTCAAGGCCAGAGCTGAATTTCTCTACAAGCTATATCACAACCTGAATACTAAAACTTTCTCTTTACTACTCAGGCTTCAATTTGAGTGCAATTTTTACCTAGCCTATTCTAGCACTGATCATGTTACCTAGTTAGGATAATGAAACATTTGCAAGAAAATAAGCAAGTTCATAGAGCACCAAGGACCTTTCATTTGTGTCAAGTGCTAGGGGAACCAGGAGATTTAGGCAGTTCAAAGGAGTATAAAGATTTATTGCAAGCTTAAGCTCTCTACAAAAATCTGACCAACTAACAGTAAAAGGAAATACACAGGAGATAACAGAGGCATTCAAGACAGACTGGATTTAGATGTCTTGCAGGCACACAGAGACTCACAACTTATGATGTGTTTGACCCCTCGCCTGGGCTCAGCCTGGTCATTTGGTCCTCATATTTGAGTTGAAACCATTTAGCATTTTGCAGAGAAAAAAAAAACATGGGACCCTTCTCATGGCAAACATTGTCCTGGAGATAGTTCCCAAAGGATCTTGACCACACATACAACAAAATGAAATGAGTTGGGGTTAGTGAGTGGAATTACATGCAAGAATATTTCACAAGGAAAGAAAAGAGAATGAACAAAGAGATACTTACTATGAATTCTTCATCTTTACACTCCTCTTCTATACAATCCTGCATATAAAACAAAAGGTATTACATCTATTCTAACATGATTTCATTTCTCTAACTTAAATTCTGCAGAATAAGATGTGCACCTATATAGACAGTTAGGCCACTATTACCATCTTTTTTTAAAATATACATTTTACTGTTTTTTTTTAATTTTAACATCAAAGTGCTCAGGAAAACACTGTGATGAAAGGGTAATCAATCATAACAAAACAAGTCATATATATATATATATATATATATATATATATATATATATATATATATATAACTAAAATTAATACCTTAAAAAAATTCCCCCCCTCTATTTCCTCACATGATATAACAAATTTAGTTTAATCTATTTCTTCTTGAAATTCAATCAATCCACAAAATCATCCCTACTATTACATCTACATAAATCACTCCTGCTTTTAAGCTCCACTAATTTCAATTAAAATATTCCAATTGATCTTAAACAAACATATTAATAAAATTTTGGGTATCCCTTCTACAACACACATAATATTCCAAGAATAACATTCTAATATTTTCACATATATTCCATCTCTTAATTTAATACATCATTAATTAATACCCTTTCTTCTCTTATCATAGATCTCTCTAATTCTTCTGCTATTACAAAATAGTTTTCTATATAAACAGAGTAAAAAAAAACAAAAAAAGAATTATTTTGACCTGTTAAGTAAAATTTAACTCTCAACCAAATTAACTATCATATCTAAGATAAACATATTATTACACCAATTATTATCTTACTGCTTTCATTTACTCAATTAGATTGTCCAATCAGTCCAAATTTCTAAAGCCTTTTTGACCCCATAATTAAAATTTTAAATCACATTTTTAAATCTAACTCTAGCTTTTTTTCTATACCAAGCTGATTTCCATAATGTCGCTTCTATGTCATCAAATCTCAGTATTTGAGTAGTAATGTTTATCAACAAATCGATCTGATCAAAATTCTCTTCCCTTTCTTCCAGTATGATATATGCAATATAGTCCATTTTATTCCATATTATAATTTCAGCTTGCTTATCCAGGTTGTCATAACTTTCAATCGATCGTGTCTGGCTGTCAATTCCTGTTAATTTTGGCAATGGGAGAACTTCACTTATAGTCATTTTTTGATCTTCAAAGTTTTCCATTTGTACATAGACTTGTGAAATATCCTTCTCTGTAGTAGTTAGTTGATTTATAGAGTAGTTATTTAAGGTCTCAATCTGGGATTTTGGGTCCAGAATTTTCTAAAGTTCAATTGATCAGTGAGTTCTTCCATCTCAGATTGTGTACACTGTTGCATATAAGCTTCTTCTTGGCCTGTAGATTGGTCTTTTGAAATTTGGGGCTCAGCTTGTGATTCTAGAAGATGGTCTTTAGTTTTTCTCCATAACTTCATCTCCTCTGTCATTTCCAATATCAGCTCATAATCCAGTCCAGAATTCAACTGATCAGTAACTTCTTCTTCCATCTCAGATTGTGTATACTGTTGCATATAGGCTTCTTCTTGGCCTTTAGGTTGATCTTTTAAAGTTTGAGGCTCAGCTTGTGGTTCTGCAAAATAACCTTTAGTTTTTCTCCATAACTTCATCTCCTCTGTCATTTCCAATATTTTTTCCAATATCAGCTCATAGTCAAGCTGTGGGTAAAAGTCTTCTATTTCCATAGTAAAAGATTATTTTAAAGTTTTTGTGGAAACTATATTTATTAAGAGTCCATATACATCTGCCTCCACAATTTGTAGATCACAAACACAACCCACAGCTGTTTCCAACCCTTTATCTTTTCTTCTTATTAATTCCTGAAATAGTGTTCTCCAAACACTATTTTTGCCACAAGATGTCCTCAGTAAGCTATAAAAAGCTTTTTCTTTGCATGTTAAAAGCCTTTATCTCATTAAGAATGACAACAAAAGAGACAGAAAAAAGCAAATATCTTCAGTAAAGTAAAATAATGCTCTAAATTAGGAATCTTTCCAGGGATGCCCAATATCCAAAAAGTTCAAAATATAATAAGTGCTATTTTATAGTTTTGTTTAAAGTATTATTATTATTATTTTTCCTCCAAACAGACAGAAGCTGCTTTCTTAAAACAGGGAAGTCATCCAAAAAGCAAGCTCTTTGCAGGAAAAATAGTTCATAATGGAGAGAGGGAGGAAAGGTCGCACCCGGATTCACCACAGTGGTTCTTTATGCTTAGATGATTTTCTGACTTCAGCTGGCACAGCGAAGTGATCGGCCATTTTACTACCGAACTTCTTCTCTATCAGCCCTACGGAGTTAGGGGGAGCCGCCGCTCCACTGTTGCCGCAAAAGCCTCCTCAACGGTGGTCGCTCCAACAAGGCGATTTAAGACACACATAAGGGTCTACCATACTACCATCTTTGATATCATATATGTCAATTGCTTCATTCTATAGGTGAGATGCACTCATTTCTTATTAGAATACATTCTGATTGGCTGTAAAAGATACCTATGAATGAACTGTGCTCAGAAACTCTTTGTGTCATTCTCTTTTCAATATTCTTTCATCTTCAAAGAATGGAAATCTGCACAGAGAATCAAGTGGAATAATGCTTGTATTGAATTTCTGTCTCAAAAATGCTTGTTGACAAAAGAAAGCAGTTAATAGAAAGTTCAAGTGGGGTCCAGGCTGTTTGGGAACCTGGCATTAAATCACTACCTTCCATATTTGTAGTCCTTGACTTATAACTGATCACTAAGCGACTATTGGAGGTTATGATGGACCTCACTGGGTGTATGTTTTCAATCGTTCCAAAAATCCCTCTTTCTGCCTGGTAAAACAAACTCTGGAAAAGGAGATGAGGAAATATACCATCTTACCAACAAAATTATGTTTGGACTACACAGATGACACCCCCCATTAAGGGACAGAAATTACAGGGAGAGAAAGAAATTGTTCAGGACACTCTTCCCCAGTGCAAAACTTTCTTATATCCAATTCTGAAAAAGTGTTGTCCACACATACAACCAAATAAAGTGGGTTTGGGTTTAGGGTCAATGACATAGGCATGTTTTATTGCAAGCAAGAAGTAACTGCACAAGATGAAGAAAGATCTACTTACCATTAATCTGTCAAGTTTCTTGACTTCCAAAGTATTCTATAAAGAAAACAAGCACATCAAATTGTATTCCAATAGAAGGTATCCAGGACCTTTCTATCCATGTCATCACTACCAGCTTAGATACCATACACATGAATTGCTGTTTTCTTCCACTTAGGAAACCCACATTTCTTATCCTAACAGGAGTGGTTACATTACAAAATAGAATTTAATTAACTATGTTCTGAGCCTTTCCCCCCTCATTCTCATTTCAAAGTTCTTTCATATTCATGGAAGTATAAAATGGATAGAGAAACCTAAGGGATCATAGTTGTATCCTATTCATCAACCTACAAAATGATTGCTTAGAAAAGATAAATTTTACCAGACATGGCACTTGGGAGATAATGCTCTTTTGAGAACACTGTCCATATTTTGTATAGAAATGTAGATTCACTTCAATTACACACCTATACACAAAAGACATCCCTATGATGGAATATTGTGGGGCTTTTTTTAATCTACTTCACCTAGCCCCTCACTCTTCTATCTCCTCAGCCTCTTCCTCCTCCAAGTAAGTTCCAATCTGAAATAGACTCACTGTTAAATATGCAGATTTGTGTTCCCAACTATATGTGCTCTACTTGATTTTGAATGTAGCTGTATGAAGAAAAGGGAATATTGAAATCCCACAATAGCAACTCATTTCCTCTTCCAACTGTTACAAGAATGTCAATTCAGAGCATTTTCTGGTCAGAAAAAAAAAAGATTCAAAATTTTTTTTAGGCCAACCTAAAATCCTTATTTAAGTATTCAATACACCCCACCCCTCAAAGTTTGGGAATTGGTGACGATGAGTAATATTTTCATAGGTTTAATCATAAAACAAGATAGCTCTCCTCATAAATATACAACCTGGGTATATCTCCATATATATAATTGCTAAATTGAAGGATGGGTTGGTTAGAATCTCATGCTTGCATGCTTCATGGCATGCAAGAAAGACATTTCACAAGGAAAAGAGGAAAGATGATCAAAGAGCTACTTACCATTAATTGTGCTAGACCTTCTTCACTAATTGCATTCTACAAGGGAAAGAGAAGGTATCATCTCTACAGTAGTGGCCAAACTTGTGGAAACCTTTTGGGAAAAGTCTATTTTTGAGGTTTGATGGCTAATAACACCACTTTTTTTTGGAGTAGTACCATAAAGTTATATATCAATGGAAAGATAATTTAACCAAGAATGTAATGCAACAAAGTTTGTTCAACTATTTGTACTGTAGTCTATGAAAAGTTATCGCCAAATAACCAGAAAAAGGAAGCACAGCTTGCTTAGGCTGATATCAGGTAGCTTTCCTTCATCTGATTGTAGCCAATGAGCATGAGTGTTTAGAGAGCCAATAGGTGCCATCTTGTTTTGGCAATGAGCCAATCAGATCACAGTAGGATTCAGTTATTGATGTCATGTATTGAAGCTGAACTCAAATACTTTGGCCACTTAATGAGAAGGAAGGACTCACTGGAGAAGGGCCTAACACTGGGAAAGATGGAGGGCAATAGAAGAAGGGGACGACAGAGAATGAGGTGGCTGGATGGAGTCACTGAAGCAGTAGGCGTGAGCTTAAATGGACTCCAGAAGATGGTTGAGGACAGGAAGGCCTGGAAGAACATTGTCCATGGGGTCGCGATGGGTCGGACATGACTTCGCAATTAACAACAACAACAATTGAAGCTGAGAGGAGGACATTTGTCAGTGTGTTGTGTGATCGCTATCAAGTTGGTTGGGTTTTTTTTGTGTGTTCTTTCATTTAGTGAGCTTGTAGGCATAATAAAATTAAAGTAATGGTGCAAAGAGTTGACAGGTCGCCCAGAAAGCGATGTAAAATAGTATTATTAAGTGAACAAGGCTACAGTTCTAAAGAAATTAGAAGAAAAAATGGTGGAAACTTAACCAAAGGTGGCATTTCTACTGTACACTTTTCCCATAAGGCCACTACTGTATTCTCATATGAGAACATGTGTCATGTCTCCAACCATGCCATCTCTGCCATTTTGTATATGATATAAATGAATTTCTTCCTTCTTCAGATAGGACCAGTCTTGTCTCTTGGGGATAAAACTCTTCTGTAAATATGCACAATGTGCCTTCATTTCATGTGTGAGCCAAGATTCATGCTATCCAAACTGTGCTTTTCCAAAAAGCATCTCCATTTTCTTGGTAAACGTTTTCAAGGAAAAAACCCCAAGAAAGTCCAGTTCCTTTTTGGAAAAGCATCTTTGAGGCAACCATGACCTGGATGTTAAGAATCTCCATAAACATTTAGATTCATGCTAGCTATCCCACCAGATCAATAAAAGTCCCGACAGCTGCACAACATCCCAACTTTGAATAGTTTTAATGTGGGTTAGATTTTTATACATTGCTTTGTGGTTTACTGAGTTGGGAGAGCACAGATTATTTCATCATTTTAGCATTTAATTATTACACAAACTACAGAAAGAAGATGGAATTAGTAGCCAGACCAAATGCTTTGTGTGATCTCAGTAGTACTAAGTAGCTAACTAAATAACCTTGAGAAAGACTTTGATATAATAAAATATTTTGGATCATCCAAAAAAATCTCTCCTGTCTTTGCAAATATATTCCAATAAAATAAACCTTGAAATAGGAGGTGAGGAAATCCATTTATCAGCAAAATTGCATCTGATGAAGGGAATATTAGATGGGTCACAACCATCAGGAACAGAAATTACCACTAGACCAATGTTTCTCAATCTCTCAACTTTAAAATATGTGGCCTTTAACTCCAGAATTCCCCAGGGTAGCATGCTTTAAGATGTATGAACACCAATAACTTCCCTTTGTTGGCTAGGGAATTCTGGGGATTGAAGACCACCCATCTTAAAGTTGCAGAGGTGAAGGGACACTTCATTAGAGAAAGGAAAATGCTCCATAGGCTCTCCATGAAAGAGCTAAAATTCATGGCAGAATCTACAAATTGCTGTTTTATGAGTATGTGTAAAAACAAGAATCCATGGATTTGATGATGGTTGCTTTTTACCCTTCAGGAAATTGAATAATCAAGGATTGAGATTATGCAAGGAAAGAGCATAAGATAAAAAAGGAATTACTTACCATAATTCTTTCCAACATTCTATCGTCGTCGTTCTATAAGGGAAATAAGAATGATCAGCTTTATCCTCACATGATAACATAATATGACTGCTCTAACTGTTCCATCACTAGTTAGTACACATGTGGATGGCTGCATTCTCCAAATAGAAAACACATATTTCTTACTACAAGAGGGAGTAACAGGGCTAAAAAAAACAAATATGATTTAATAGTGTTCTGATATCTTTTTATCTATTCTTTTTCCTTTCAATATTCTTCCACATTAGTACAACCTCAATATGCATAAGGATAGCTGAGGATTTAGGATACCTGAGACCTCTTTACTGTAACAGTTCTATCACTGCCAACCTAAATATTATATTCATGCATTGCTGCTTTCAGAAAATACATATTCATTGTCACAACAGGGAGTGTTAAGGCCCCCCCCAAAAATATTAACTGTTCTGAGACTTTTTCTTTTTTTCACTTATTTTTCTTTCTTCTTCTTTTTTATAGTTTTATCATATTGTAAAATTCTAATTAATACTTTCATTAGTTTAATTTAAATTAAATTATTAAATTTAAATTAAATTATGTTATTAGTTTAAAAAAGAGATGATATAGGAATTTAAATATCAGAAAGAAAGAAAGAAAGAAAGAAAGAAAGAAAGAAAGAAAGAAAGAAAGAAGGAAGGAAGGAAGGAAGGAAGGAAGGAAGGAAGGTTAAATTTTATTCTCTCCTATATCTTATATATTTTATTATTATTTATGTATATGTTGCCTTAATTATTTTTATGTATAACTCAAGGCAATGAACGTGTACAATGCTGCTTGTTCCTCCTATTTTCTCCACACAACAACCCTGTGAGGTAGATTAAGTTGAGAGAAGGTGACTGGCCCAAAGTCACCTAGAACTCACAGTCTCCTGGGTTCTAGCCTGGTGCCTTAACCCCAAGACCAAACTGGCCTTATACTCCATACCTCCCATCAGATTGCTCTTTAGGAAAACACAATCTGTTACAAAAGTCTGGGAATCTTCCACAGAGAATACAACAACTGCAGGATGACATTATCATGTACATATCATTATATGGTGGAAGGGCTGAGAAGGTACACAGAATTTGTCGAGATTTGGAAAACTTAAGAGAAAATGTACTTGTTGCAAAATTACCAATGGAGTTACAAGATATGCTAAAACTTCAAAGACAACAATTATCACAGTAATATCCTTGGTCTACTTTTTAGAGTCATAACTGAAGAATGATGAATTAGACTTCAGTGGAACTGAAGCACTATTTCAATGGCAACCCTATGACACACCTGTCAAAGGTGACATGTCATGTTGTTTTGAGTGACACGCCAGCATTCACCACTATGCAATCACAACAAAACAATGAAACAATAACAATGAAAGGACACCCCATTCTTGCAGGATATTTGGAGGCTGTGGTGGCCACGCAAGAATGGGGTGTACTCCCACATGACCACCGGGCCCACCAGAAATTATACAAGGGAGTTGTGTTATTGCGTGACCTTCAGCACCTCAAAAATTCACACGAGAACAAGGCCAGCTTTCCAGTGGTTTTCAGAGGCTTCAGGGGCTGAGGAAGAACATTCTATGAAACTGTTTTAAGAATGAAAGCTTCGTGTGACTTTTATGTCTGAGAGAGGATTAGAACTTACATTTTCACTCGATTTGGCAAAGTGAATTCCATCCCAACCCAAACTATTTCTCCGTCTCAGAATTCTGTTGAGCAACAATACCCTAGATCAATGGTGGTGAACCTATGGCACGGGTGCCAGAGGTGGCACTCGGAGCCCTCTCTGTGGGCACATGTGCCATTGCGCCAGCCTCACCTTCCCCTGTGACCCACTCCTCTCCAGCAGCCCCCCTGAAGGAGAGTCACCCCTGAGTGTGGCCCACACGGAGCAGCACAGTCAAAGACATGGCAGCCAGGCAGTATAGACAAGACTCTGCCCTCACACCCCATTGCACACAGTTGATGCTGCAGGGCGCAGGCAGAGGGCATCGCACCCTAGCACTATTGGGCTCCCTGGGCAATCTGTGGCAGGCCTTGGAGACAGTGAGTTACCCTTTGGGCAGGTGGGGTGGGGGATGGGGAGGCGGAGCGGGGGTGGGGCAGGGGATGGAGTGGGGGCAGGGCCAGTTTTGGGGCACTCGGTCTCTAAAAGGTTTGCCATCACTGCCCTAGACGAAGCCCTTGCTGACTCTTCTGCACTGGGTGATTTATACCTACTTTTTTTTTCTGAAACTAGATATACTGTAGCTCTGAGCTCTTTTTGGAGAAAAGGGGGCATATGCATTTTCCCCAAAGGGGGGGACAGTGTTATGCTACTTACCATATACTTTGCATTATTACCCTGAAAAGAAAACAAGAAAACATCCTTATTTTTGCCTCTCAGATGTGCAGTTTCTGATTACTGGTTTTCTTGTAGTCATTTGTAAAACAGAGAGAAATTACACCACCAGCAAGATGAGGAGAAGGAACATGCAGATACATGTGTACATTTTAGAAATACAGTCATTATTTTTGCTAAAAGAGAAAACGAAGTAGATTTGAATATAGGAGGAACGTTCTGGATTTACATGCTTGCTGTCTCTCAAACTGATATCTAGGGCAACTTCAAAGTTCCCTTCTTCCTTCTCAAAATATGCCTGCAACAGAAAACCCTTGTGATAGAAATCTTGTAAATACTAGATCTAAAGGAATGGAAATCAAACAAAGAGACAGTATATTGTATGCTCATAAGTCAGTATGACTTCATTCAGACATGGCTAGGTCCAAAAATGAAGACATTTAATCTGATGTGTCCCTTGTGATATACTATTGATGATAAGAGACATTTCTACCTCTGTTTCAATCCACTGGGATTGAGACACACCTCAGGAACCTGATTTGGAATTGGGTCCGGCATTGGGACTGAGTAAGCAATCACTAGTGCCTATAACCCAACAGAGGCGTCATCCAAGGTTTCTTTACCTCATTCCTTCTCTTTCTTCCTGTTTTCTCCAGTACAAATTGAGAAAATGCTACATCTTGTTCCTATTACCACCTATGTTAGTCAGAGTCCACTACATCTTCCAGTACTGCAGCCCTTCTTCCAAGTATTCCTTGTGTTGATATATCCAAGTAAAAAAAATAATTACTGTAAAGATTTTTGGGTAGCCAATAAGCCTTGACACAAATGTAAATTAATGATCAAATATTAAGGTTCCTTAGATGTTTATAGGTAATATAATATGATATGCAGCTTAGGTGCTAATGAATTTGTGAATTTTGCTCTCTCCCATACTCTACCCCAAACTCTTCCCATATCTTACACAGTTACTAATATATTTTCAACCAAAAGTATTTTCAGCCTTCTATATTGATCCAATTCAGAAGTTCAACAAAAGGTTATCTCTGATTCCAATACTAAGTTGAACAGTGAAAAAGCTAACGCAGAAAGCAGAATGCCAACCTGAATTCAGAACTACGGATACAGATGAATTTCTGATGATTAAAAGATGATTCGAAGCTCTCTGCCTGATTTTTGAATCCATTCATAAAGAAATGTGTAATTAAAGCATGTAGAGAAGCTCATTTCATCTGCAGGCACCCCAGCTGAAAGGCTCATTCAACCCACAAAATTTAGTCTTACATGTTGTGCAGAAAGCGTAAAAGTCAAAGCAAAGATTAAAAGAAGATGCATCTTGTTGCTCTTCAGCTCTTCTGGTCCTTGGTGTTCTTCTAAGTGACTTTACTCAGCTCCACTGCCAAATTTTAATATCTTAATCCCCAGGCCTCATTGCCCAAATCCAATGCCTCTATTGTTACTTGATTTACATGGAAATGTGAGGCTTCTGTTGCATCATGCACAATTGTTCCATCATCCGAGTTCAAATTGAAGCTAAAAGGCAGAGGTTGTGTAAAGTTCTAACATCACAGAAGAAGGACTCAAAGGGGCTTCTTTCTATAAGGACTATCAGACGTGAGTGGCATAAATCCAGAGGACCACTTAAATGGCAGCACAAATTTGGAATTGCTCCAGTGATTGTCCAAGCTTGAAGCCAGATTTAGTACTCTAATACTTTATAGCAGGCATACGTTTGGAATCTTTTTGCTGGTGGCAACTTAAACCATCCTAAGCATTCCAGTGCTTGGTATTGCAATAGAAGGTGTGAATGTCTTCAAATATTATCTGGCTCTCTATATCTGAAAAGTCCCAAATAGAATTAAGCTAATTGTATAGTCCTCCATCAGATGCCTTTTTTTATAATTCTTCAATAAAGATATTTCAAAGATAATCCCTTCTGAAACACTTCCAAGAGTAGCAAGGGTCCTTTTGATGGAAAACAACCTGGTGGCCTTAATTTATTGGTTTGATAAATTGCAAGGAAGCAAAAATATACTTACAACACCATCAAGATAAAGATGAGGAGCCTACAAATTCCATGATATATTATAACTGCTAACAGAGCACACACAGTTCCCCAAATGACACCAAACCAGAATCTGAGACAGTACCAAAAGTTGCATATAGGTCTGGCAAAGAAAAAACCTGGATTAAAAGGAAGGAAAAGAACAGTCTTGCACACCTCTTTATTACACTGGAACTGACAAGATGTAGTTATTGCACTCAAACTTGTGCCCTCTCTTTCTGACACCAGAAAATCCAAACCCATCAAAGCCCAAAGTTCCCACATCAGTATTATCAGCAACACCAGAATCCACTCACTCCTTAGATTTCATACTACAATGTAATTCAGATAAGGGGAGTGTGTAAATTTTGGAGGTCTAGAAGCTTTCTTGATAATTGAAAGGCTCTCTTATCTATCAGTGACCTGAACTCACATGATGGTGAGGGTGACCATATCTGATGGCCTTTACTTATCAAAAGTCTTTTATTCAACTGCTTCCTCTTTTGACAATAAGGCCATTGGTTTGGACTCACTGAAGCATGCTAGATGAAGTGGAAATGACTTACAAAAACAACATCATCAAGAGAACTAAGAGCAAAGAGTGGAAGAGAGACAAGTTGTTCTGCCCATTGCTTGCTTGTTTTTTTTTTTTTTTATGATGATAGTTGAACAACTCCTGCGAAGAGGGGATCTATTAGGGTGTTGAGGTACCTAAATGGAGAATATTTGTACCCAGGGTTGAAATGAGGAGTCCTTGATGCTCTCTGAGCTTGCTTGTTTTCTTGCAGACATTTCATTAGCCTAACTAGGTAACATCTTCAGGGCTAGTGATGACTAGCTCTGATGATGTTACCTAGTTAGGGCAATAAAACATCTGCAAGAAAACAAGCAAGCTCAGAGAGCACCAAGGACCTCTAAGGGTTTTGAGCTGTTGAGCTTAGGTTATTTAGTAGGATTGTGCCAAACCTTTAAGAAGTGGCCCATTTTGAGGCAGATTCACATGAGGAAGTCCTTCAAAGGTTCTTCAGAAAGCAATGGGCATAGCCTTCTCTGATTCTAAAAAAAATGGCGTGTGCCTCGTAGTATAAATAACCAAATGAGGCATCTACCTGTGTGCAGAAACCACTCCTGGCCATTAATTATTGGAAGAATCAAGAAGTGCTTCTCTGCTAGAACTGGTGGATGAAATCCCAGGATGGCTGGAACTGCCTTCAAGAGACAAATTGCAAATTGACAATTGCAACAAGTATTGCAATCCCAAAAAGGGAATCCATTAGCCACTTTGTTTTCATATAATAGAAGCATAAGCCACTAATCCTTATCTGTCATGCAATTATTCTCCCAGATAATAATAATAATAATAATAATAATAATAATAATAATAATCAGTGAGGCACTACCTTGACGTGGTTGTGGGGCTTGTGTACTCTGAGGAAGATGAGAGCTATGCCAGAGGTTCAACCATACTGGACAGGTCTCATCAGAGGAGTCAGACAAAGAGTGTCTCTCCCATAAAAAATATGGTGAGACGTAAATTTCAGAATGCCATACCGGCTCGGACGTCGCCCGGGTTAACAAGGTCCGCGCTAGATATTGGAGTTCCTGGATATCTGGTGAAAAATGGGTTACAGGACTCAGGACTGTTGGCTGAGCAACCAGGGCCAGCAGCTGCAGAACTACTGGAAGAAAAGGTGTTTACCCGTCGCAGATACACAGTGATGGAAAACAAAGAAATAATGATCTGTTACTACAGATCAAGTCCAACAAGAAGAGGATATCTAAAACGAATGCACCAGTTCTGGAAAGAACAACATCCAGAATCAGAAATAACAGAACAGAGACTAGCAGATCAACGCCGATTTATAACACGAAATAAAGTATTTACAGAAACAGAATTGGATGAACTGCAAAGGTTTACCCAGGGCAAAGAAATCAAAGCCTTACAAGAAGTAATTCAGAATGTAGAGGCAAACCAGGGGGAGTTGGCCGTGAAAGAATCCAGTAGAGATATACAACTGTTCTCATTTGGAAACCAGGCACCTCTTCCTCAGGAAGAACAAAACCCTCTAACTAAAGAAATAAAAGAATTGAAACAAAGAATAACTGAGCATCTAGAACAGCACAAAAACAACAGAATAAGGCTACCTGCATTGAAGCTTGTTCCAAAGAAACAGCTAGCACAAGCATTAAAAGATGCAAATACTGCAATAGCAAGTATAAGCACCAATTCACTGCAAGAAACAAACCAACTAATGTACAGCACAGCTGCAGTTATAACTGAATACCTGGGATGCAAAATCAACAAAGAAGAAAAACAAACAAACAGTGCACCAGAAAAATGGAAGGTTAGACTAGAAAATAAGATCAGCAAGTTAAGATCACATGCAAGCAAGCTAGAACAGATGAAAGAAAAGAAGCTGAAGAACAAGAAGACCAAAGAATACCTAATCAAGAAATACCACTTAGAAACAAGGAAGATCAAGGAAGCACTGGAAATAATAAAGCAACAAATAACAGCTATAGCCAGGAAAATCAGTAGATATGAAGCTCGAATTGCAAACTATAGGCAGAACCTCCAATTTCAATCCAATCAGAAACGTTTCTACCAATCCATCAATGGAGAAACTGCAAGGAATCAGTCAGTACCTGACAAGGAAGAAACAGTGCAGTTCTGGAAGCAGATATGGGATAACCCAAAGAAATACAACAAGGATGCGGCTTGGTTAAAAGAGGTGGATGCAAATAAAACAGAAGTTGAAATGAAAGAACTAGTAATAACAACAAAAATGGTAGAAAAAAGAGCAAAGAAAATCAAAAATTGGTCAGCACCAGGTGAAGATGAACTGCATGGGTTTTGGTTGAAACATCTAACTGTTATACACCCACTCATTGCCAAACAGTTCAACAATATACTACAAGGAGGAGAAATTGAAAAGTGGCTAACAACTGGGAAAACCTACCTAATAATGAAAAATCCAGCAAAAGGGGCAACACCAGGTAACTACAGGCCAATTACCTGCTTACCAACAACTTTCAAATTACTAACTGGTGTGGTAGCTGATGCAGTACAACAGCATCTAGTTGAAAACAATCTCTTTCCACCTGAGCAGAAAGGAAACCGCCCCAATAGCAGAGGAACAAAAGATCAACTCCTAATAGACAAAATGATCTTGGAAAACTGCAAGAGAAGGAAGACCAACCTGAATGTGGCATGGATTGACTACAAAAAGGCATTTGACTCTCTGCCACATGATTGGATAATAAAGTGCCTAGAAATAACAGGAGTCAGTAGAAACATCAGAAAATTTGTGCAAAGATCGATGGCACAATGGAAGACACAGTTGCAGATCAATGGTGAGAGCTGGGAGAGGTTAATATCAAGAGAGGAATATTTCAAGGAGATTCATTATCACCATTACTATTTGTTATTGCACTGTTTCCTCTGTCAACAATACTGAATAACTCAGGACATGGCTATCAAACATCAAAAACATCTGCTAGACTATCCCACCTCCTTTACATGGATGATCTGAAGCTGTATGGAAAAACATCATCTGAAATAGAATCGCTGCTCAACACTGTCCGTATATATAGCCAAGATATTGTAATGGAGTTTGGCTTGGACAAATGTGCCACACTTACTATCAAACAAGGAAAAATAGTGAAAACTGAAGGAATCAAGATGCCCCACGAAAATAACATTAAGAGTCTGGATGAGGAAGAATACTACAAATACTTGGGTATCCTTCAAGCTGACAACATCAAGCACACTGAAGTCAAGAAAAAGATTAGAGGTGAATACATCAAGAGAGTGAAGAAGATCTTAAAGTCCAAACTCAATGGAGGAAATACCATAAAGGCAATCAACACCTGGGCAATCCCAGTCATTAGGTACACAGCTGGAATAGTGGACTGGACTCAAGCAGAACTAAAAGCAATGGATAGGCAGACCAGAAAAATAATGACAATGAATCATGCCCTTCATCCACGCAGTGACATTGATAGACTTTATCTACCAAGGCAAATAGGTGGGCGTGGAATGCTACAAGTACATCAGATGGTTGAAGAAGAAAAAATGGCTTTGGAAGAATATCTGAAGAACAATGATGAAGATGCACTGAAATTAGTATATCAGGAAGGCTTACTAACTACTGGAGAGACCAAACTGGCCTACAAGAAAGACCAAATGAAGAACAGAATAGAGGCATGGGAAGACAAAGCACTACATGGCCAA